AAGTATGAGTATGACGATGAATAGCCAAGTTAGGTGACCTCGCGTACAGTTGTGAGTATAACAGGCTGTCAGATTATGCTATCACTCATAGTTGAGTCCCTGTTTATACTGGTCGGCATATATATTGGAGTGATGTTTACAGTAGGTAGCGAAGATAAGCGGCATCGCGTATAGTATGAAAGACCCTCAGCTTTATACTAAGCGTTGCACACAGACTCAGTTGCTGCAGTCACGATAAGCAGCCAGGGTAGGCGATATCAAGTGCGGTTACGAGTATGACGGGCAGCCGTTGATCGTTAAGACGTCACGCATAGCCCAGGCCCGTGTTCAACCCCCAACGACCACCCGGGTGGGTTTCAGGAGCGATTAGACTATCTAGCACCAGCAAACACAAGGTGTCTTTCAGTCCGCAGTAAAAGAGCGCAAACAGCAGCTTCAGAGCAACGTTTATTTGGGGCATAGGCGGACACAGTATACATGATATTGTAGGTCTCGCCTTCCTGTGATATTTTCAAGTGTGTTACCAGATAAACTATACAGGGTCGACTACCAACTGGTATCCGGTCACGTAGATAGGCTTCTGCGCAGTGATGGATCACGGAACCCAAACAGGTATTTCCAGATTCAGTGGCTTTTGCATCACCAAGGATGCACAGCGGAATCTGTATGTAAGCAAGCGTTGTTGGTTTGGCTGCAGCACTTGCGTCAGGCATCCTTGTTTATTAAAATGCTTCCAACCAACGAGGAAAAGCCCCTTGTAATCCCCATTTTTCTAAGGTGCAACCATTATTGGCTGTTCATTTCTATCAGCTGAACCTCTTGTTAGGATCTAACGATCTCGGGGAACTTTCAGTTAGTGCTGTCTACATAGCCAACCGTTTTCTACGCAGATCGCGTTCCATCCTGTTCGTTATCACCAACTCCCCCTCCCGAGGAAATTTCACACCTGACTCCGCCTTAACAGCGATGGTGAGCCAGTAGAGTTTTCTTTTACTCTGTGATTCCTGCTATCATTTATCAGCATACCTAAGTTATCCATTTCACTAATCCCATTTACGCATTCCGTGAACCTGGCTATAAGCCAAAATGTTCAATGGCACAGAGCCTCAACATTGGCTTTCATTTTAGGTATGAATCAACGGCCGGATCACAGAAACTATGCTGTTTCATCAGATCCGTTGTTCTTGTTATTTATTAGGGTATTCAACCGAAGCTTCTGGTCTGAAACCTGTCCGCAATGCAGAGGTGTCCGCGTGAAAACGAATGTGCGAAAGCACTTTTATAAAACGGTCCTTCACACATGTTCTAACACCCAGTCTTGTGGACCATGAGATTGCGGGGTCTAATCCCCGACTCTTGGCAAACTCCCTTTGACTGATCCTATGGGTGTCGCACCGACATTAACCAGTGTATCCCAATGAGACGCGGGGGCCCATAAACCGTCGCAACATTGTATGGTGCAGTCTCTTCTGGGGCCAAATTGACGCACCAGTGACCGACATACTGCAGGAGCTTCCTTGGATATGAGTACCACAATCAACTCACCTCAGTTAGTTTTGACGCTATGTTTCTCCTAGTGCGAGGTAAGTAATATAGACGAGCCATGACTGAGGGTTCTACCTCTGTTTTGAACATGGCGAGCTTGAGTTTGTCAGGACCAACGGCTTGGGGCATAACGTGACCCATTTTTTCAATGTCGTCAGAGGTTCCAAGTTCACCGTCAAGCGCTGTGTTGCGAATGAAGGACCTGACTGGGAAACTGTCGGCAGCTAGCTGAATTGTCGAAAACATTTAATGCAGTGATTCAAATGCTCTGTTTCAGAGACTTGCGGGTCGTTGTTGTCAGAGACTGTTTTGCTCACCATTTTGGGTCTGTCAAGATTGGCTGCATGAGTAATTTGCACACGATCACAATGTTTTTCTTCTCATAAATCCTGAGCTTTCAGGTTTCACAAAATTCTTGCTCTGCGCACGTGCTTCTTTTCGCCCGAGGTCTCACGATCCGTCCAGCTGCGTCATACTCTTGTCCGGAATTAATACTTTTCTAAACTCCGTACAGTTTTAAAATTGTATTTTGTAGCCTGCGCTTAACTTGGGCAAAAGCCTCGATCCTGTACATCTATCCATGGATCCGTGAACCGGCGTCACCCGTGGCGTCAAAAAACATAAAATTGTGTCACAAGGTACGTGTGCGCCAGGGCACGGAGATGTCTGTTTCGTCTTAATGTTTTCACAGATTCACGGCTTCGCTTCGTGGTGCGCCGGGTCGAGGCTTTTGCCCAAGTTTCCTGGGTCGGCTTCGTTCTTGTTGTTCAGCAGCTGTCGTTCACCTGAAAGGCACAAGTTAAAAAAGGTACAGCATTGCTCTTTGCGTTCTTAACGCGGGGCAGTATGCTTGCCAGCGTGAAGACTCGCACAGTAGTAGTGCTTTGAACTGGGTCCTGGAAGGAGTGTGGACAGCCGTCGGAGGAAGGCCATTCCACGCAGCTACCACCCGAAATGAGAAAATTTTTCGCCTGATGAATGTGTGCGCTCTGATCTTGAAAATCTTCTTAGAATGTCCCCACCTTGTGTTTGTTGGCTCAATGGGGAAAAACCTGTTGGCCAAGCTTTGTTTAAACAAGGTATAAGTAAAAAGTAGCGAGACGGCCCCTGTTGTCGTGAGTTATGGAGGGCGCTAATTTTCCGAATATCGATGCCTCAAAATCGTTGCATGTGTTGACTGGCGTCAAGGGGCTCGTAAGCGAGTGCTTGTTATGAAACTATCCAGTATCACCAAATACGGTATCTTAAGCACGTTTTCTGCAAGCTGAACGGAGCTTTGTCCTCTGCTACACGTTAGAAAGGAAAACATGTGAATTGAAAAACCTACAGCTTGAGGAAAAGGTATAGGTGAAAATACAACGTGTTAAGGCGATAGTGGTGCCCGCCTGCCAGGATAGGGACCACGGGACACTTCTGCACATCGTCGCGCATACGCCGTGAAATGGGCTTTTGGAATTATAAACACCACACAAAGCTTGCAGCATGCCAGCACCATGTTTCTCTTCCTTTTTCTACACTCACTCACTCTCACGCACTCACTCACTCATTCACTCACTCACTCACCCACCACACGTTCCTGCATACTCACTCATCCGATGATCTCTTGTCACACTTGGGGACTGCGCCTACCTGATGAGCCCCAAGAAGGGTGAAACCGGTCATGGGCTGCCGAAGAGTTTTCAGCAACCTTGTGAGTAGTTTCCTCCATGAAAACAGTTAGATCAAACTTTCGCCTGCGTGCCTGGGAGGTGTCAATATCCACGCTGATGTTACTGTCGCTGACGATACTATTTCTAGTGGTTGCACTGACGTTGATTTTGTCATACCGGGTTATCTTGACCAACCTGGTATGGATGGATATGCAAGTATCACATGTTCACTACACATTATGCCTTACTGGTTTATGGGGGGCGCTAAAGCATTCATACCCTGATCACGTCCAGGTTCTTCGCGGTGGATAGACATTAAGTTGTGTGTCCTCTGGATCTGAACTTACAGAACAAAAACTGTGCTGACAAGTATTTGTAACCAAGGGACTGCAGATGACAGTAATACGCTTACGAGTCTCGTTGCTACACCTACAGCCAAGGCGGAGACTGGCATGAGCACGCGCGATAAGATGGTCATTCGGCTCATGAATTCCGACAACTGTAGCTCCCTCATTCAGCTTCGATGAATTTGGCTGGCAGCCTGCGCCGTTGTACTCGCAGTCTCCACACTTCAGTCTCCATGATGAAGCAGTTGTTCCACTGGAGACCGGAATACCAAAGGTTGCCAAGGCAGTCACACGAAGGCGACACAAGTCAGATCACATGAGTGAGTGCATCAGATGAAAGATTCTGGCCTCACAATAGGGTCAAATATCAGGGACAATCGGACAGCCAAGCCACACATGTGCAATGGAGGTACGAATATAGCCACCATCGGATCAGCATCCTCACTGTCTTAGGGACAGACCGCACTGCGTCCGAATCTCCCCGAGGGATTATAACCCAAACCAAGGCAATGGTAGGGCAAACAGCCCCAAAGATGTCCGAAGAAGAGGCGCTCTAGATAACCGAACGTCGCCTCGTTTGGGCAGATATGTCATCATCTGACTACACACTGAGCCAATTCATGCTTTGATTGGTCAGGATGTCGGCTACTCGGGACCCAACAGCCATAGCTTGGCGTTTCTCACGTCCCCACGATGCTCGCGTAACCTCGTGAAAAATTCCGTGATGACCCCATAAATAAACTTGTGTTGGTTTCCTTGCTTTCCTCAGAAGGCTGTTTCAAGTTGCCGTGTCTTTTGAAATATCACAGTGATCAGAACCTTAGAATTTACACTACCACGCTCAAGCGGCAAGAAAGGGCCTCATAGAGATAAAATCTTGGTTAAACGGCAGAAGACCCAAGAAAACAAACAGACGCATGTTCACTCCAAATAGCTAAACAACAACGAATCCAATCTTCCAAAAGTTGGCACTGCACGATTTTCAAGAAGCAGGCATCAAGATTTTTAGCATCTAGAGGGAAAACTGCGTACAACAGAGGCAAAGGTCCCGCGCAAACGGGGATTCCCAAGGAGAAAACCCCCCTGGTGTCAGAAAAGTAATAGTAGTATTCATATACTACTTGTTAAAATAAGAGTAGCACGTCAGTTATATTATGCACACGGACTCTAATGTAACTAACCAGTGAGATGCAAGCACCGACAATGAAAACCCCCCTTTGACGTGTCTGTAGGGGTGGTTGATGGTAGCATGACGAATCACACTCTTGGTAGCAGTCCTTTCATTCTATCCCCGCACCGAATTAAATTTAGCTAATCAATGAAATGTATCAGCCGCTAAGGAAACCCTCTGGAACGTGTTTGTAGTCGTTGCTAATGCTAGTGTGACGAATGATGTTCGTGGTAGCAGAGACGCGATGTAAAAATGGTCATATCCAGTGAACACCAGCTAGGAAATGGGGGTGTCTGAATTCTATTTGCTATTAGTTCGTTGAACAACATGCCAATATCGGGGTACGGAAAAAGCGGATTAGCACGTTGCAAATCTCATTAGGAAAATATCTGATCGGTTTTAGTGTTAGAAAGTTTAAAGGTTTTAATCAATTTGGCGGACAAAGACTTTGAAAGAGGACGTTTCGCACTTGTAGGCTCTTTAATCAAGGCCAGATATTTTTCGGTATATCTACCTGTTTTAGAGTTGTCCAAGTTAACAGGCCTATGTAACATGCCATCATAATTTGTGAAAAATAGCAGACAATCACTTGTTCATTGGCTATCACCAGCACTTCATTCTCAAACATCAATAGAGCTACCAGTCTCCCTATCACTGTTTAGTGTCCGAGCCATTGTCCAGCAAAACAAACCATACTACCCATTTTAAACCTAAAAGTTTCAATTATGCTATAGCCTTCAATATTAATCCTTTCTGCAAAACTGAGAAACCTGCATATTTTGCCAAATATTCTGTGTTGGAACATGAAAAACCTCACTTTGGACAGAATTAGACACTACAAATGTGACCTGCTAAGCTTGATATGGTGTCCATTTGCCTCTGCAGTGTGAGGATTGCACATAACTTTAGGACAAAAAACGCTCCATTTGACTGAATTTTGTTAAACCTGAGCAGATAAAAACACCAACTTGCCATCTGGAAAGGGATCGGGCGGAAGTTGTTGCTCATTAAAAGCAACAATTTATCTGGCCCAGATGAGTTGAACTTTACGCTTTTCAATGAGGGTGGTGAAGTTCTGATGAACCTCCCGGCGGCCCAACCAGGAAAGGTTTGGTGTTAATGCTAAACACTCGTTAAGTTAGGCGCTTTAACCTTAATTTTGGTCCTACAAAAGGGTGTAGGAACGTAAACTAACAACAACCGCGGCGTTTGTCATATATCTGTAGCATTCAGAATGCTTTATGACACCAGGTTGCACGGATTGATTGACTACTGTGAAAAACTTATTTATGACAGCATGTAGAATATTCCTCCTAGTGTGGCCACATTTTCGCATTTAACATGGTCCTAGAATAGCACTCACGCAGTATTTCACCCTTGTGCTTCCTTCGGGTGGCATGGCAGCTAGGCACCGGAAGGATGCCACAGCTGAACGACTCATTTATTTATTTATGTATTGTAACCCATATGACGTGCAGAATTTATCCGATTAACTTCACAACCTGGAAGATCAAAACGCTCCCAGGAAGTTGACTCACAAATGTTGAATACAAAGACCATACTTTTCTCTTTGGCTTAGATTCTTCTTGGAGGCAACCCATTTTAATATTTTTCATAATTTGTTGCATGCTTAGTAACGTAGACTCAAGACGCCGACCAGTGGTCACTCCCTCCGATGGACCAACTTGGATAACCTACAACCTCTACAAATGTTGTGAGGTCCTGCAGAACATTTTGACGACCATAATATTCTAGGGGTTACATGAGTGACTTAAGGAGGTTATGCAACGATCGCCCCATGTGTCGTACAAGTAGGTTGATTGCCTTTGATTATTCTTCAATGTTTATGTTCGGACAAATGGCACTTGTTCGACCTAACGAAATGGAACAGATGGAAATGATGCTGTTCTCCCTTAGCGTTTTACCTAAATCAACCAAAGTGATAATGACACTATCGCCACAATGTCCTATTCTCATACTTTATCAACACAACTGTTTTGATTTATTCTGGTTCCTTTTGTTTATATTGATTTTCATCCGTTTTTGAGCGTGAAGGCTCAGGAGCACAAAAAGCGGAGTGGAGCAAGCTTACTTGTGGAGGCAGTCTGACGTATCGTGTCTGAATATCTATATGAATAAAAAGCAGTCCGTTCGGCTAAGCGACAAAAAACTTCCATCTTTCGGTTCACTCTTGCGTCTAGTTTGCCAGAAAACTGATTACCTGGAGTCTTATAATCTTAAATTACGGTTTGTAAAAACCATGTATCAGAAGATCACAGTGTGTTTTAACTTAAAAGGGATGACGGAATTTCACATTAGATAATTGCGGCTAAACCATATGGTCTGACACAACTATATGCCATTATAATTTTGGAGTACGATAGGAAGGAGATGTCCCAGTAAAAGAAATTTATGTCTGTCCTCCAATATGGATGGGGAGTTCATGAATAGCTCAGTAGGTCTTAGTAAACCACGTAACCTACGTTCTCCTATGTTCAGCGGTGTCCGTATCTTCTTGTCTGTTACAGCTACATTCCACCTTGGACAAAGGTAATGCATCTCGTTCTACTTCATCCACATTTGATTCACGCACCTCTTGGCAGAGTGATAGTTACGCCCGGTTTCCCACATTCATTCGTTTTACTCTAACTGCAGCGTCATTTATGCATTTATTGGGACATCCTTTACTATGAAATTATGTAATAATCTGCTGTAACTCAGATATTGGTCGTGCTACACTGTTAATATGATGCAGTACCATTAATTAATTCACACCAGTGCAGTGCCGTCTATAATGACGATCCTTTTGTTCATGCTGTCGATATCATCTGTGACGCTTGCTCGACCATAATCAAACAGAGGTTTTGTCCTCCTTTGATTTCGCATTGATATCAACACATGCGCTTACACAACTCTGAAAATCAAGCAGCTTAGTACTCCTACTGAGGGTTTACCTTCCTATCGTACTGCAAAATTAGAATGGCATATAGTTGTGTCAGACTATACGGTTTAGCCGCAATCATCTAATGTGAAATTTATCACCGTCATCCCTTTTAAGTTAAAACACACTGTGATCTTCTGATACATGGTTTTTACAAACCGTAATTTAAGATTATGAGACTCCAGATGGGGCAGCTGCGATGGTACCATCGTGTGCAATACGGACATTGAACCCAGTTGACGGTTCTTCCTTCGTTTTCTTCAGGATCTTTGAGGCCGTACTCGGCACAGATGTTATCATTTACTAGGAACTCTTGTAAACTGGGTACGGTGGGTGTTTCTTCAACGACTTCATACCGGGGACCTCGCCTCGCGTCCTACACACCAACTTATTGTCGCGGGCCAGTTTGGACATCTGGGACAGTCCCCTCATCATTTGAGCTTGAAATATCTACAACCGCCACTTCGTCGGGAACAACAGTCTTCTTGGCCCGCTGTGACAAGTCCCTCAAGAAATTCCGTCGGAAGGAGGGCAGGAGGATCCAAGTTCAACAATATAGACGGAGGCAATTGGTCGTAGTCCGCGATGCTCGTATCCGTACCCAGGTTGATGGGAGGTGAAAAAGTAAATGGGGGTGACTCTCGTGGGCCAGCCTGCTGCACGAAACTACGATGCTACGCGGCATACACTGCAAAATGTTCGGGCTCTATCCGCTGATACAGTGTTCGCACGTCATTCAACACCATGTTCAACAAGGCGCTTGGTGTTCGCGTTCCATTTCTTGGCGCATTCAACTGCGCGAACGAAACAGCAATTGCGCCGTTGTTTTCACGTGTCCAACGGAAACACACCGGCAATTCGGTGGCCTCTACATTCTGTACCATGGCAAAGTGCAGATGATGGCGGCAAGGTATGCCAAATTGAGCAACCTCTCTACACGTGCGCATTCGGGTTGCGTGGGTCATTGTCTCCGGCCGACGATCCATCATGATGGTAGCGTGCTCGTCGCTGCTCATGACTGTAATTGGATGGGTTGAATTCAAATCCTATGCCATTTTGGAAATGGAGTAAGGCATTAAACGGCAGCACAATCTGTCCTATTCAGGATGACACACAATGCGAAGATCACGAGGAGACGCGTCGGATATGGTTTTCTGACGATTCCATATCAAATACGTCGCGCTCGTGCGTGAAACCCGTATGGTCTCCCACAGTCCTATCTATCCGTTCAGCGGTTCCATTTTTAGGCATCGGTGCATGGTCTAGACCATGTTTGTATCGTGAATGCCATAGTTTGCAACTCGTGGCATTTTGCAGCTGGCCTCTTGGAAGCGTTTGGGAGAATAAAGGAATTTATGTACATGAAAAAGAAAGGGTCACTTAAACAAATAAGCTCCAAAAAAGTTAAATGTGCGCATGGCAACAAAAAAGCGTGTAAATGATTGCGATCGCGGAAAACGTTTGATAATGTCCCTAATAATATGTACACGATATCATAAATGATTAGCAAGAGGAAATACACTGGCAATTGCGTTTCCGATGGCAAGAGCACCGTGAGGCCTGATGCACTTGACGAGAGAAAAGCCACCAACAAACTCCAGAAACTTTAGCAGAAAAGTTTGTACGTCTGCCTCAGTCTCCCGCCAAAAAAACCCATGGCCACAGGGAGACTTTTACTGCAGCCATCGACGATAAGCAACTGATATGAAAAAATACTTGTGTTGGTTCGTGGAAGAAGTGCTGTCACTAAGTAAAAATCAGGATACCGTCTGTACGGATCGAGCATATCTGAGGTTGAGTAGATGAAGTGGGTCACTCTAGTGCTTCCATCCCTCAAACATCGGGCTCGTATTCGCTCGTTGAACTGTGACTCCAAGTCGAGAATGCAACCTGCACAAAGTACATATTCTTAACAGTAATTGGAATTACTTGGACTGTTCCGCCCAAAAATGTGTCGCGCTCGGACATTTCCGATATCGCTGGTTGTGAGATATTTGCCGAACTTCGACCTCATATAGAACCGGATGTTAAAGCAACGGCTGCGGCATTCAAGCATTGGCCGAATGATTTCCAGTTCCTCAGGCAGCAGTAGACGGTTACGGTTTAACCACCGAGATGCTTCGGGACCAAGCAGCTCGTGATTGTGTACCACATTAGATGTAGTAACCCGAAAGAAGGCTCCCAGTCTGCCAACGTTGAAGAATGTCTCGCGCTGTGTGAGATCAAGCAGCCGGCGTCGTTTGGAGGACGTGCAAACCCTTTCTGGTGGCATTAGTATTTGTTGAACGTTTTCTCACCAGAGGAACTTGCTTTCGAGTTTCGCACGCTGTAGTACGATCCCGATATTCGCTCGAACTGCTTGATGCAGTGCACCAATTCATGAACTTTGCTGAATAGGCGAAGAAGGGGGTGACGTCCACTGTGTGGCCTTCATCAGACACGGGAGCGACGGCCGCTTGCGACGAGGAAGCCATGACGAGTGTGCCCCGTTGCGCTGCGCGGCCTATTTTATGGAGCACTTCAACCAATGAGAAGGGGGAACTAGCATTTTTCTTCGATGAATGTGTACTAACGAAAGCTTTTATAGTAGTGTAAACTTTACGATGAGTGGCGTATCCAGTCAGGAACGAAAAATTAGTTGGTGGAAGTAGTGATATTCGTCGGATTTACCACAGAGGAAATTTCGAATACTTGGACTAAAGCCCGGCGAACAGCTATTAAAATTGCTAACCCCTCTGGTAACATACTTCTCGGCTCCACACTTTTGGTTGCAGCAGAGGTAGTGTTGAAGTGCTTTCCCAAAACCTGCCTCAGTCCCTTCAACAAATTTCGCGTTATTAGACAGTCAGTATGCCTTGAACAACCGTCCATTACTGGACCTAAAGCAACCTGGCTTACATCAGTCATCCCTGAAGTGGAGGTCTTGATGGACGGCTACTCCGCTTTCCGAGCTGACTCAAAACGCGAAAGGGCAGGTGGGGTTGCTCCTTTCTTACAAGCAGCCCTGCTCTTTCCGGTTGTTCTTTTCGACACAATTCCCGCACCTTTTTGTTATGCACTGTGGATTTAAATCTCGCTGCGTGGGACTGATTCTCTTTTTGGTCTACTGTGTCCCCTCATGCCCACCGGAAAATGGTTAATTCCATATAAAAACCATTTGGCAACTCTCCTCCAGCTACTACTTTACGCTTCTCTTGCTACTAGGCGATCTGAATTCTCCTAAGACCTGGATGGGGCTTCAGCGTATTGGGTCTGGTCCAGATTTGACATCAGTGTTGACTTGTTTCGTTCACCAGAGCGCCTGGACTCGCACTCCCCAGAAGCCACACAGACCAACTACCATCCCTGCTGGATATGGTTATCACCAATGTAAAACACTTAATTGATCAAGTGTTAATGAACGCTGAACTGGAACATAGCGACTACTGCGTACTGACCTTTGATATCGTCTGCTGCTGGACGAGGAACCCGGAACTTGAAACTTCTGTCGTGCAGACTTTTCAGGACTGAGTATCCTCCTTAACCAGCCTGAACTGGGGCCAGTTTCAATGTAGGGGACAAACAGGACCATTATCCAAAAATTCACGTGGCTGACGCGGTTCTCAAACTAGCGCGCAGTTGAGTGGACCAAAATCTACTTAACGGGATTCGGCCTCTTCTGGGAACGAGGTCTTAACTGTTCAGAAAGATATCCACGAAAGACAGAAGACGAACTGGAAACCCCGTGAATCAGAAATTGCCCACGGAACATAACAACATAGGCCACAATACAGGACCTCTCCCGGATGAACAAAAATATCGTATTTAAGTTCACAAAACACTGCTTAAGAAATAAGCCCACTGTCTTCTTGAGAGACAGAACAGGGAATCCATGAATGGACTGACAGTGGTATCTGATACATATGGTGAATACCATAAGGCTTGTATGCTGCCATAGCGGCCTCACTACATCCAATCTTGGCAAGATGTAACTACAAGCAGCTTCCAACTGACTTGATATTCACAGATGAGGATGTAAAGAGTCGTTCAGCACCCTTCTGGTGCTTAGCTGCTATGCTACCCGTTTTACGTCGTTTTACGGATGATTCGGCACACCTTACCCTTACGGACTTCCAGATACCCTATGGGGGTCGCCGTCAGACCGGTGCTTGAATGTGCCAAACAAGTTGTCTACTCAGGACGCAAGGATGACGTTACCCGCATTGAGTGTGTTCAATGAGATGCTACAAAATGGCCGCTTGCCTCATGTCCGTTGATTATGAAACGATTCTTGGGGTTCTTGAACCCCTTTCTCTTGAGTATCGTCACCTTCGAGAAGACCTAGCACTTACTTACCCCGTTTGAACAAAATTTGGCCCACAGATTATCACTGTCGAACTAACTCAAACACTGCGGAGATATGGTAAAAAAGGTTTCTACGCTCAGATCACACACTTAGTAGGCAGCAGTTTTTCGCATTTCAGATACTTAGTGCACCGAATAACTGCTCTCCGACGGCTGTTCACGCAGACCCAATCCAAAGAACTTTTAGATGTTTTTTATGGGTTCACGCGCTCGTCACAAGTTGATGTTTTTTGATTCATGTGACTTGGGCAGTCTTTAATGCTGAGACAGTGTAACCTGGAGATGACACTCTGACGTAATGGTCGAGCGTGAGTGCTGCACTGAAATTTGTTCCGTAAAGTTTAGCCATGCCGGGAAGGTTGGAGGGCAAGCAGTCAGATTAAGAGTAACAGGACTCTATACCGCGGGTCGTCGCATTACAAGGCGGCATCGGGGCTGAGATGGGACTGTGAAAACGGCCAGACTGTTCTAATTTGTGGGAGCATTGATACCTGTTTTACCTTTGGAATGGGAGGTTCGAAATAGTTTGTCCTAACGACCACACAACCGATAACGGTCGACCGTCACCACTGGCGAGTTATCCTATATGGGCAAAGAAACAACTCCGTTTCATCGTGGGCTGGATGGCGTTCCAAGCGCGTTTGCTCTGCGCAGCAGCATTAAGAGTGGAGACTTATGTCCTATTCCCCGCACCCTTGTGCTGGGCCAGTTCACTGCAGCCGAACACGTCAGACTATTGCGTCATTGGCTCCAACCAGGTTCCCCGAAAATGACCTTACTCCCACTACCCGTGGGCCAGACTTTTGAGTCAGAGATCCGAAGCGGAGTTCCTCAAATAAAATCCTTTTTATGGCTTCAGCAACAAATAGATACCACTTGGCCGCAGATGTTTGCCGTGCCTCTCGACTTCTGTCTAGGCTTGGGCAAACTGGCACTATCCCAGCCCTTGTGCTTCCTTCGGGTGGCATGACATCCAGGCGCCATAAGGGTGTTACAGCTGGATGATTTTTCTACAGTTGTTTGTCCACAGGTGTTTATCTCCAACGCCGTTCTCACCTTACAAGCAAACGTTTCTAGATCATTTGACTGGTACGTTCGAAATCAGTTTCGTTTTTTCCTCGTGCAAATTCGTGAAAGAATTTTTTCGTTGTTCAATCTATTCACAGAGTACACACGAGTAATTGTTGAATTTTATTACTCTAACAAAACATTTTGCGCACACTTCCTATTTTACATCTAGTCCGAAACGTGACATCAATTTATACCGAGTGCCCTCTGCAGCCATTGATAGACATAAACAGATGTGGGTGAAATGGCTGTCCGTCGAACGTCAAACGCGGTATGCAGTGTCACCCCTGCAAGGCCTGGTGGCATTTCAAATGCACGGGTTTACAGGACGACCAGATAAGCCGACTAGCTAACTCTCCTGACCCGTTTGTCTGGGCGAGCTGTCTCTACGTCCTGGATGCAATGCATACCGCAGCGAAGAGGAGAGTCCCCCAAAACGGTACCCGATCCCCAGTGCAAATTCAGAAAGAACACTGCCAGTGTTCCGCTTTAATCGGGATACTCGACGCGAAATTAGAGCATCTTTTAAAGGCACTGGAGGACTCAGGCGTTAAGAATGCAGCGACCTTGACGAAAGTTGACAAGGAACATTCTTCGCTGAACCAATACCTCGCGATATCCATACCCATGGCTGCGAAGAAAGTCATACAACTTTGTGACGCGGCTATAAGATCCGCCACAGCGTCTCTAGTGGACAGGCGCCTAAGTGAAAACAGGCTGATAATCTGGGGGTCATTCTCCGGAAAAATCACGCCGGCAAAGCTGGCAAAGCCGATCCTTAGCAGTGTCCTCACCAAGCCCGATAAATCGCTCCACGCAGAACGGCTACGCCAGAGGGGAAGTAAGCGAACTCTTGGACTTCTAGTCACTCTTTCTTCCCCATCCGACGTACAGGAGATCTTGGAGCGGGCTGGCAGCATTCAAAGGGCCAGTCCAATGATCGGGCGCCTATCTGAGGATCGTCCTCTAGACGCGCGTAAGCTTGATAATAACAGGTCAGGGGTGGAAGCGAGAAACAGGCTTCCACCGGGAATCAATTCAGCCGACTCCAAACTCATGACCATGCCGATTGTGATCATATCCCCCTGTGCTCCCGAAAGCAGGCCGACGAAACCAGCTGGGTCTCCGGACAGCTGTTTTTATTCGACCACCACAAGCCGCTCACCCACCAAAGGCAGGCACGCCCTGGGGGAGCCCCCTGTGCGAAAGCAGGCCGACGAAACCAGCTGGGTCTCCGGACAGCTGTTTTTATTCGACCACCACAAGCCGCTCACCCACCAAAGGCAGGCACGCCCTGGGGGAGGCAAACCCCACATACAAGCAGCGTCCAAACTACGTGGAGCTATCAACGCTTATCTCCGTATCAGAGGACACAGCTGCAGCCGTGCGCTCGTCAACAAAGTCACAGCCTCTGAACTGGACTGAGTCAGATATGCGGGGACAAGAAGCGAAGCCAATCTCCAGCTCCACTCCGTCGAAAGTGGCCCCTCTGCTTGTGGACACAACCGTCGCCCAGGACCCCGACAACCAAAGCCATAAACATGACTACAGCCATCCGGAAAATCCCTCGTATATCCAGTTGGCCACACTGATCGCTTGCGGATCGGGTGTCCACACAAACACGAAAGAAGAACGACCGCAGCCAAACAAGCCACATAAAACGCGCCAGATTAGAAAACTGCTGGCTGACTTCCAGGCGCAGTCCTCCGCAAAAACAAGCCTCTTGGGAGCGCTACCAAAATCATTACTTCTTGGTGCCACCACCCAGCGCTCGGGGCCTCACAGAGACACATTTCCGGTCAAATCGCGCCAAAACACCCAAGGATCCAGAAAGGCGAAAGCTTGTAGCAAACTTTTGACCAACAGCAAACCTGGTCGACGAAAAGGGGATGCTGAAAGAGCTACAAACAGCATCGGTCGAAATTTTCGCCCACGGGGAAAAAACTCCGTCCCTTAAAGCCAAAAGGCCCGAGAAAACCGAGCTCCCACGGAACGAATAAAACCTCGCATGCGAAAAGCACCCCCAGAAATCACAAAGACATGAACCAGACAACATCGTCCCAGAGGCCTCCCTGGAGCCTTTGACTCAAACCCGGTGCACAACTATTAAGTCTGCTAACCACCCTGGTCACTCAACTTTAGGCTCCTCACCCTCGGAGGCAGCAGAGACAGGGTTGAAATGCTTATCCACAAACTGCCTCGGGCTTTTCAACAAACTCAGCGATGTTAAACAGTCAGCTTGCCTTGAACCACCGTCCATAGTCGCACTCACAGAGACTGGCTCACACCAGATGTCTCTGACGCGAAGATCTCGATAGGCGGTTATTCTATTTTCGAGCTGACCCAAAACGAGGGAGGGCTGTTGGGGTTGCTCTGTACTTACATGCGGCCCTACCAATCCCGATAGT